TAGAGGCTACAGCACTAAGTGAAGCCGGAAAGATTTATAGCCAAGATGGGTCAAAAAGGGCGTTGGAAATATTTCCCAAGCTCAAATCAAGCAACGCTGGGAGCTGGGAGTCTGGACCCCCTTCTCCAGCTCACTTGGCCTTCACCTGACCTTCAGCCTGGAGCCCCCAGCAAACCTGGGCCCCAAGGTGGCTCTTAGGGAGGGAGTTTTGCCAAGAGCAGAAGGATGTGGTGCCCTTTTCCTCCTGGGCACCTTCTCCTGCTGGAGGGGGTCAGGAGCAGCCCATCCTTCAACTCCATTGGAGAATATTCCTGGGCACACACTTGCCCAGGGGATGTGCACAGCCCAGGTGGGCAGCACAAGGTGTGTCCACAGTGTCTGTCCCCACCAGCAGCCACGTGCAGGGGACAGCAGGCGAATTTTCCTCCTTTGGAGGTGCCTGGAGTGTGGCCAGAGGGGCTCAGACCGAAGGTGGGTCCAAACCTGTGTCCCTTCACCCCCAGCTCCAGCCAGAGGTGACAGGGAAGGGCAGAGCCAGGGGACAACTCCAGATGCTGTCCCACCCCCAGCAGGTTGCTGGCCCTGCACTGGGGACGAGTCTTTGTGTCCCACAGCCCTGCCGGGTCGTCTTCCAAGAATCTGTCCAATTTCTTACCAACCCATCATGATTTTTGGGCTCCATTTGTGCAGTGAGTTCCGTGGCTTAATTACACATTGTGTGAAATATGTTGCCTTTGCATCTGCTGCTCAGTAATTCCACTTGGGGCCTCTTTGTTTGCTTTGTGTCCCCACACAAGAGCCACCGGCCCCTATTCACTGTCCTGGTGCCGCTGCACCAGGGAATACAACTCAGGGAATACAACTCCCACCTCCTTGTTCCTCCTGTCTGTCAATTCTTTGCAAGACAAAAAGGGTGATTTATTTAATTGTTGCTGATACAATGTGCTAAAACCCTCCTTTCCCCTCCAACAGTTAATTACACTTGTTAATTATTTTAATTATTCCCAGGGTGATGCTGTAGGTGTAGAGGAGCCCACTGGGCTGCACACGTGGGAATAAACACGGAGCAGGGAAGTCAGAGTTTGCTCCAAGATTTCCATTGGTAACAGGTCTGTAACCGCATGGGTGAAACAGAGCAGGGAAGGCTTGGCCTGGATTTGGAACTGTCTGCTTGCAGGAAGGAAAGATTTATAGGAGGAGAAGGCAGATCCTGCAGGATCTCCCTCGGATGGGGCACTGGGGGAGGCGACTCTGGCCTTTCCCTGCTGCAAAATGGAACCACGACTTGGCCAGGCAGTTCTGGGCAGCACCTCTGGGATGGTGGGTTTATATGAGGGAAGGAATCAAGCCAAGCAAACTTCCAGCCCGCTGGAAAGCCGAGGCTCAGCCCGAGGCTCAGGCACAGCCCACCTCTATCCCGGCCGTGTTCCGAGGGAGCGGCCCCGGCCCCGTCAAACAAAAAAGCTGTTTGTGGTCTGTGGAGCAGCCCCCGCCAGCGCCCTCGGAGCCAGGGTGAAACCCGAGAGCAGCCCCAATCCAAACCTTCCCCGCAGCTCCTTTTATCTTCCTGGGGGGAAAACAAACAGCGCAGGAGCCGAGGCTTTGTGGCCGGGATGTCGCACATCTGGTTTGAGCTCCAAGAAATGCACTTCCACCCCCTCCCCGAATTGTTCCTGTTAAACAAATAAAACCCCGGCGAGTTTGCGAGGTTTTGGCTCTGGGGTAACTTTGGAGCAGCTTTGACTGTGAGTTCCAGGCTTGTGCTTCTTTCATTCCTAACGGGAGCAGCTCACCTCGCTCCTGGGAGGGAGGCACTTCCAAAGGGGGTCCTGGGACCCCCCATGCCGGGAATGCCGAGGCTGGGAGGGGGTAGTGGTCTTGACCACTCCGTGTTTAGGTTTCAATCCAGCATTTTTCCCTGTGTTATTCATGCTTCCTCCCTTCCCCCTTTTTTGAGAACGTCTGGAATTGTTTAAGATGTGTCCAATTGTATTAAGATTCCTTTGAGAGCTTTATGGTGTCAATTGGATTCCAACTCTTAGGAAAGGAGTTTTCTAATTTGCCATTTTTCCCCTTTTCTATAACATAAGCACCAACTTCCTTTCAGTCCTTTCAGGTGTTACCTCAGCCTGAAGTTCACCCTAATCCTTGGACATCACGTACACATTCCCATTTGACACATTTCTAGTGATTCCCTGGATGGTGCTGCAGGAGGAAGGCAGGGAGTCATTCCTGGGGAATCCTCTCCCACTGGTCCCTCTGTCCTCTTCCAGTAGAGGTGGATAAATCAGAGCAGATCACAGAATCATGGAATCACAGGATGGTTGGGGTTGGGAGGAACCTTAAAGATCATCTCATTCCATGGGCAGGGACACCTTCCACTAACCCAGGTTGCTCCAAGCCCCGTCCAAGCTGGCCTTGAACACTTCCAGGGATGGGGCAGCCACAGCTTCTCTGGGAGCAGTTGAAAGGTGTGGGATGAAGGGGGTGGGAGCAGCATTCCAATGCTCTCCCCATCCTCTCCTGGACTCACCCAATCCCAACCTAATCATGCTCCTTCCAAAGCCAGGCACGGTGCCCTCGAGTCACCTGTGATTCCATCCCCACCTCCACCCTCGCTGGTGACCAGCTCCAGCTCCTCCAGGCATGGGACAGGCTCTGGCTGGAACCCACGTTGACATTGTTCCCTCCAAACGAGGGAGGCTCCTCGACAGCCCCAGCAGGGCCTGGGGGTGTTCTGGGCTCTCTGGAGCCCGTCCAGGGCATCAGGTTTCAGAGCCAGAGAGGGGGGCTCCGGCAGCTGCAGGGGAAGGAGCAGCAGTGGGGACAGGCAGAGGGAGGAGCCATCCTTGCCATTCCAGGGATTCAATTTGCTTTCTCCTTCATCAGATTAACGCCAGTGTAACTCCATTAACTGCCAGGGAGATGCTCAGGATCTGAAAATCAGACCTGTCGGATTTTCATAGACTCACAGGATGGTTTGGGTTGGAAGGAGCTCATCTCATTCCACCCCAGAACCATTAATCTCTTCACCTCGTTGCATCAAGGTCTCTAATTGTTCTGATTAATAATGACAATCAGATTCACAGCAATTCCTTGATCTTTCATAGCCAGTATCAGAACAGGTAACACACGCTGCCTGCACCCAGAGCCAGCCAAGGACCTCAGGGAAGGTGGTTTCTCCACAAATTCCAAATAAACCTGAAAGTAGGTTGACTCGACAGGGGTTTTTTTTCCTTCAAACCCTCTACTTTTCAGACAAATTAAGCCAAGCTTGGGATGCACCATGGAGCTGGGCTTTGGTTCGCTGTCTACACACCAAGACCAGCCCATGAGGAGGGTTTGGCAGAAGCCACACAATCCACTGAGTTGTGCAACTCCCTCAATCCCCCATGGCTGCGAAAAGTTCTGAATGTGAGCGAGGAAGTTTGTCTGAAAAGTTCTTGGGCAATTTTCTGTACTTATTTGAAAGAGGAATTTGATCATAACAATAGTTATAGAATTAAGAACAACTCCCACCCTGGCACGAGAGGAGGAAGAAATAACCAGAACCAAACACTCAGTTGTATGTTCTGGGTACCAACTTTGGGACTCCAATGTTTGAGGGACACAGCTCAGCACCAGTGACCTCAGTTAGTGTGGGATGGGCTGGTTGCACCGTGGCAGAGGGATGGGCCTGTGCTAGGAAGGAAATATCGACTATATTCAGTGTCTGCTGCTTAAATAACAATGCTTGAGACACTCAAGGAGGCTGAAGGAGAAGAGAGAAGGTTCAGCAGCATCAGGAGCTGGAGAAGGAACTCCCCTTCCTGCAGAACTGGGTTTCTATTTGAAGCCCTTTTAGAGAAACAACAGGCTGGGGGAAATGTATAAGACATTTCATTCCAGTGTTTTCTCCCTGGAGTTCAGGCCTGTTGGGATTTCTCATCAACTGCAGGCTAAACTCATAGAATCATGGAATGGTTTGGGTGGGAAGGGACCTTAAAGCCCATCCAGTGCCACCCCCTGCCATGGGCAGGGACACCTTCCACTAGCCCAGGTTGCTCCAAGCCCCATCCAACCTGGCCTTGGACACTTCCAGGGATCCAGGAGCAGCCACAGCTCTCCCAGCCCGCCCTCTGTAGGAGAGGAAATTCAGTGAATCATTTTTAGATGTAAAAGGTTTGGGATGAGATTTGAACTATTGTTGGATCATTTTCAAACTGGAACAGTCAGAATTCCCCTGGTTTTACCCACATCTCACCACTCTTCCAACCAAGCAAAGGGAATCCACTTATTTATGTCCAGTTTTAACTGGATGAGAGACCAGAGTACGACCCAAAATGTCTGCTGGATTAAGGGAATACACTGCCAAGGAAAAGGCCCCTCAGAACTGTCTCACCTTTGCTGCTGAGGAAGCTGGAGCTCAGTTACCCCTGAGCAGTTCTACAGAACAAAAGCAGCAGGAATAAGAATTCCCAGCACTTCAGGCCTGGTAAATTAAATCCACATTAAACATCCTCTAGTAGCCTGTGCCCTGGGGGACTGATCCTGAATCCCACATTTAATCCAAGACACTCTGCCCTGAGATGCTGAGCTGGGGTTTGGATATGAGATAAAATATTCAAGCCCCTGGAATTTCCAGGCTGGGCTGCAGAACAATTTAAAGGCAGAGATAAAGTTTCTGCATTGCAGACATTTTTCCTCTTATTAAATACATCGTGTAGTTGGTCACTGATGGGATGAGACTTCCTATAAAAGGAGGGTTGAGCAGGAGAATTGGAAGTGTCCTTGACAAAGCTGCACAGAAAAGCTGTAGCAACAAAACTGAGACTAAACCCCCAGTCCACTGCTCTGGTCCAGCTGTTATTCCCAGAGTAAGGAAGTTGGGATTAATGGGAAATCACACAACTAAAGCAGAGAGGGGTTCAAGCCCCAAAGCCCTTCACTCTCTCCCTGTCCCACTGCAGCTCTCCTGGAATTTGGGAGCTTTCCAGCAGCACAAGCAACAAACCACAATCAGCTTTTGAGGAGTCTTTTTTATTAAGATAAATCCAGCAAAATTCCTAACAGTGGGTACATACAACCAACCTGCCCTTTTTGAAAAGAAATGTTTGTATTTCATTTAAAAACAGGATTACACTTTTATTTATTTATTTTTCTTTTTTTTTTTTTTTTTTTTTTAAAAACTGAAAAAATAAAATTACATTTGGGAAAAAACAGATTTCCAGCTCTTAAGGTTTTTTTTTTTTTTTTTCATGAAAATAGCTCACCTTCTTTATAAAAGCAACCCACAGAACCACTGGAATGTTTCACACAGTTATTTGTTTTGAGACCTCCCCACTTTAAGAAACCATACAACACATACAAGGGAAAAATTAAAATCTGAAGTCTGTAAGCATGACTTACACAAAAAGGGACACACTGACAGAAGTCAAAAGCTACCACCACTTATTCTTTCCATGTACCATACAAACTATTACAATCACAAAATTTAAAAACAATGACTTTTTTTTTTTTTGTTTTGTTTTTGTTTTGTTTGTTAGGGATTTAATTCCCAAGTAACCGAGATGAAGATGTTCCATAATTAAATTCATGCTAAAAAAACCTGCATTTATAAAATAGTTGATAAAAATATTCCTCTCTGTTAACAATACAGCATGGAGGTACGGAGACCAAATGATGGAGATATAGGGCAGGGTTAACATTACTCGGACTTGGCTTCCTTATCATCAGATGCTTCAGCAGCTGGTGCCTATAAAAGTGTTTGGGAAGAATAGAAATATTATTGGAAATGCTAATTGGATTCCAATCTAACAAGCATCAAAGAGAGAGAGCAGTTTGTTAGCAGAAACATGGACACTCTGTGTGGACAGGCAGGAAGGCACAGAAAGGACGGACACAGCAACAAGGCTGATAATTGTAAAAATTCAAACAACCAGAGGTAATTTTGGAATAAGTGCCTACAGAGGGGCAGAAGTTGGGAATGTATTTTAGATTAGGACCAATGATAAGCCAGGGGAAGTTCAAGCCCTCATTGTACAAGGAAGTGTCAAGAGTTACACATCAACCTGTGGTACTGGTCTGTTGTCCAGGTTTTGGGGAATCAGTTCCCACCTGTTCTCTCCAAAAATGTGCTTTTACTATTGAAGGTAACACATCAAACCTGCAAAGCTCCTCTCAAAGACCCTCTGAGGCACATCAGCCACGTATTGCTTTAGCAAAGCAGCTCCTGATCTTGTTTTAGAAATGAAAGAATAAACAACTGGTTGACTGACGGTGACACTGAACCCGTGAGGAGAGACCAGTGTCAGTCACAGAACACAAGGGCAAAGAGAGCCCTTGGAAAACTCTGTGTTCCTACTGTCAGCAAGGGATCTGCTGGGAAAATCCTACCAGGATGGAGCCTGCAGCTGGTCCCAGCAAGAGGCAGCTCTGAGGTAGGAGCTGCCACAGCAAGGACCTGTGAGAAGAGGCTGCAGATGAAGAGACAGGACCAAGCTGACTCTGCAGATCTCCTGAATTGTTCTGAGGGAAAGGATTGTTTGAAGGAATTGTGTAAAACTGAAAACCAGATTTCTGGCCCAGCACCAGCCCGTGCTGAGCAGCAGAGGGAAGCCAGCAGCCCAGAGAGGGTGTGCAGAGTCAGCTCAGGGCCAGAGAGCTCTCCCTGAGCTCCACTGTTCCCAAACACTGGGCAGTGCCTGAGCCAGCCCTGGAGGGACCCGGCACAGCACAGCCCACCTGTGGAAGGGCTCCAGCACAGGGCAGGAAGGAGCTGGAAGGACAGTGCTGTTCCTCCAGGTTCTCCTGGTGCAGATCCCCAGCTGGGCTGTCCTTCCAGGGTGGCAGTGAGACCCCCCACCCCGTGAGGAGCTCCTGCAGCTGGATTCCCAGCACACCAGGCTGTATTCCCATGGTTAGTGCAGCTAAAGTACCTCGTTAGTTTTGGTATCTCCATTTTCAGAGTGGTTTTCTTCTTTAGCATCCTCCTGTTTAGTTTCCTCTTTGCCTTTGGCTCCTTTCTTCCCTTTTGTTGCTGCCTTTTTGTCCTCCTTTTTATCATTTGCTGCTTTTTCTTTCTGTTAAGAAAACAGACCACGGTGTATTAAATCCTCATTTCCCACCTTGTACATCTGCATGTTTATAAATTCCCAAGCCCTCCACACAACCTCCTTCCACACCCCAAACTTCCCACCATTGACAAAGACGAGACCAAAGTTTTGAAGGAGTGTTTTCCTTCTATGCTGTCCTGAACATGCTACTGGGAAGTGCAAAATAAAAAAGCAGCCATGGATGGCTGGGGTTAAAAGAATTCCTATTTTAAACAGGCATTCAATTAAATTAGCTAAAAAATGTTGAACTGGCCTTTATTTGTACCCTGCTGCTGAAAGGCAGACACAGAAGAAAACCAACATGTACAACTAGTGGAAATACCAGAATCCTTCAGATGTGCTGTTAATGCCTATTTAGAAAACTGCAAAACTGTAACAAAGCTGTAGTCCAAGGACTTTCCCTCTTCCCTGCCAAAAATATTCCTTATTATAATAAACCATATGTGTGACAGAAAAACTGGGGGCTCAACAGCATCACTCTGATAACAACAAGAGCTTTGCATTTATTATTTAAGTGCAGTTTCTTATACGTGGATCAGGCTAAATCAAAACAAACACCAAAAGTTGATGCTTCTGTAGTAATAATTTTCCACAGGCAAGGTCAGATCCCGACCCAAATAAACGACTCTCATTAGTTTCACTTCCAAGGATCTGCCTCTTGCTGCCAGTAAGTAACTGAACTAGCTCAGCTCCTGCTTGATTAACCTACTTCCAACAAAGGAACCATGAAACCTGCAGAATCTATTCACAGGGAAGTGAAGAAAACCAGAACATTACTGAAATATATACATATACTCAAAAGATTTGTCTCAGCCACTAGAAGTTACTAAAAGGTTACAAAAAGTTTACTTTATTATTCCAACCCCTCGCTGATTAGTGCACAAAACTAATTCACCTTAAAAATGAGCTGCTGGTTAAGGGCAAACTCATGAAACAAAGGGTGAAGGCACCTGATCCTTCAATGACACTGATGATTAAAAAGTCACCAAAATTAACAGCCAATCCTACAATGGTGCAGAACATTTAAGACACTGAGTCAGTAGCACTCAAATGGGTGAAGGTCTCTTTCCTCTCTAACTTCCCACATTCCAGTCTCAGGGATTTCAGCCCACCTGGGAAACTCCACCACAATGTGGTGTCAGGAACTCCCTGTACTGGGAATATCCAAGTGTTCTGGTGCTGTTTGGCAGCAAGATTTAGAATTACAGTTCTACTATGGCAGTGGTTTCCTTCACTCCATTAAAAAGAGACAACAAAGTATTTACAGAGCTAAAATTAATTCCTTGTAGCCCCCGCCCTGTGCTGGTAAAGCCCCTCCTCAGAAAGCATTTGAGGAGAATCCAGGGAAACTGGGTTCCATGGCTGGAGAGAAAGTATCTCCCAGGACACAGCACTGTATTCATGATCCTCAATAATTTTGCTATAGAGAAGAGATGGCAACAACAATTCTGTACTGAGGTCATGTGTTTTAAAAGTGACAAAACTCCTTTCCCAGCTCTGGTTTTCAACATTGGCAAAGTTTAACAGGTGAAATCTGTTCTGACACACACAAAGCCACTCTAAGAACCTGAAGGTTGACAAGCATTTGGGGGAGATGGGAATTAAAAATGCCTCCACAGTTGTTATTAAGTCCCGTTTTTCAGAGGTATTGGTGCAGTATGAGGAGCTGTAGAGAGCCAGAAATGCAGCTCTGGTATTCTGGCTTCAAACAGCACCTTAGGAGCAATAGGACCAATGCTTCCAAGTCAAGCTGAGGGCAATTCCCAAGGCACTGCACCCAGGAGTTATCCCAAAGGGATAACACACTATACAGTTGTGCAGTGAGGGCCCAAACTAGGCTTTGACAGCCCCTTACAGCCCTAAACTCCAGCATCCCTGTTCCTACAACTTTTCAAATCAGTTACAGCAGCTTTTGTGTTTAAACCCCAAATATTTCCATGAAGCAAACTTGAAAAAAGAAGCAAACACCAACCATGTGGAGGATACACAACCACCCTGCCCTGTGTGTGACCCTGAGCAGGGGCTGTCACAGCCCAGGCCAGCTCTGGGCTGGCAGAGCTATTCCTGGGGCACCAGCCACTAGAGGGGAGTGCAAACCAGAGTGTCCAGTGCTCCATCCACCCAGGAACGTGGAGCTGAGGAGTTCCCCATGCTCTGGAATGGACCTAGAATTCCAGCTGCACCAGCAGGCTGGAATGTGAACATCTTGCTCTGCGCAGCACTGAGGTTACAGAGCTGAGGGATCCCCAAAATGACACGTGGGGTCCTCCCTCTTCTCCATCTCTCAGGGCATCTCCGCTGCTCCACACAACGGGACTTGGAAACAGTTCCCTCAGCTGGAAGTCTGCTGTGCCACAGGAACCTGCAAGGCATTTTACATGGAAAAGGAAAGAGCTCCTGGTTCCCACTAATCCTCCCCTTCTGCGACCAAAGCATCTCTCACTCCTGTGCTTTGCCCACCTCGTCATCCAAAACCGCAAGGAAAACGTGTGATGGGAACAGGTTAAAAAGAAATCGCTAAAAACAGGGTAAAAACAATCAATAAAGTTTTGTTGCTGGGGTGTTTGGGTTTTTTTGAGCTGCAAAATCCTAAAAATTTAAAAAAAAAATTAAAAAAAAAAAAAAAAAAAAGCACTGCAAACTGACTGCTGGGAAGGCTGTGACAGGAAAGGGGATGAAAAGAATCTCTCATGGATTGCAGAACTGTCCCCCTTGAAATTCAAACTGTTGCTCCAAAGCAAAAAGGAGCTCTAAATAGGTGGGGTTTTTTAACTATACTGTCAGACATGCCAATACTTTTGACTTTTCCAAAAACACCCAGCTTAAGGAAAGGGGTCTGCAGAGCTTTCAGTGATTAAAAAGTGATAAATTGATAACTAACTGCAGAGAGGGCCTTGGAATGGAAATATAGTAAGGAACTGTAATTAAAAGCATGATTTTCAATGACTTCTCTAATTGAGTCTCTGATCTCTATTCCAAGCATCATTTTCCCAACAATGCACTATATGAAACTTCAGAATGGCCTTGCAAAGCTTCACCACAAGGGATTTAAAATCTGCTCAGTTTACCACATTCCTTGGCCAGGAATTGGATAAAATTCTATCTTTTAATTCCCATAATTCCACCTTAAACCTTTAAAGATAATTATGAAAAAAACCCCAAAGTTGTTAGCTGTGGTGGTTTTTTACCCCTATAAATGCCTTGAGAAGGAAAATATAACTCCAAGAGATCTCCAAGACTTACCTTAGGTGCTGCCTTTTTGGGCTTTGGCTCCGGTTTGGGAGGAGCAGGTTTCTGTACAAAACACACACAAGGAAACAGAGTCAGGTGAAAGCCAGAAATAAATATTTATACCTAAAATAAATATTTGTGTTTTAATGTTGGTAACTTTTGAAAACTATTTACCCAACAGTTGGCCCTGTAAAAATCAGTGGGCAAATTATCAGGCTAAGGAGAGAGGCAGGTAATTTATAGAGCCACGAGCATTTGTATGAACAAATCCATCCTCAGATCAATATTCCTTGACTCTGGATACTCATAGGTCCAGACTGACTGTTCACTAACACAGATGTACCTCATGTGAGAAGCCTGTAAGGTGTGAATACATGGAAACATGGAGTGGGAATTTTAAATACTGAATACTCAGTTCTGGTGGAAAAACCCCAACAGTTCGCCTTGAACTGCCCCCATCCCATGGGATGTGATATCAAAGGAATAAATAAGGATACTCACAGCGGATAGTCTGGCTGACCTTCTCTTTGGCTGTACAAAGAAAGATGTGTCACTAAAATTCAGAGAGCATGTAAAGCACAGCTTTCTCAGAACTGCCACCCAAAATAACACGCTGTTGTGAAGCCTCACAGAAATCCTAGGTTTTATGAAATTATGGGCATTATGGTGGTGGATTTAATGACTCCCCATCCCTGGGAATGTCCAAGGCCAGCTTGGACGGGGCTTGGAGCAACGTGGGATAGTGGAAGGTGTCCCCTGGGGGGTGGAATGAGATGATGTTTAAGGTCCCTTTCAACCCAAACCATCCTGGGATCCCATGATCCCTGTGGGTCCAGCCCAGGATATTCTATGACTCCCTAGAAGTGCAGCTTTGCTCAGCTCAGCTTTTCCTCTGCTGCTGCCACTTCAACCCACTGAGGTGGGAAGGATAAAGTTTCTGTCCTTCCTGGAGCTGAAAAGGGACATAATCCCATTGGAAAGGGACATGTTCCTATTGGAAAGAGGAAGTGTTCCCATTGGAAAGGGGCATGTTCCCATTGGAAAGGGAAATGTTCCCACTGGAAGGGGAAATGTTCCCATTAGAAATGGATGTGTTCCTACAGGAAAAGGACCTGTTCCCATTGGAAGGGGACATGTTCCCACTGGAAAAGGACATGTTCCCATTGGAAGGGGACATATTCCCAGTGGCCTCTGGCTTCTGCTATGTTCCCATTGGAACTGATTGTCCCTGGCTCCAGCCACATTCCCACTGGAACTGATGATCCCTGACCTCAGCCTTGTGGAGCTGCTGGACCCCCCAGCACCCACCTCAGGCAGGTCACCCATCACCTCAGGTGACAAAGACGGCCCTGAACACCCCAAAACCAGAGGCAAGGCCACTCCCTCGATCTGAACCGCCCCCCCCCCCCGCGCCCAGCCCGCACCCGCCCCCCCCCAATACAGCAATGGCGGCCCCCCCTTCCCCGCCGCCTCACGGACTACAACTCCCACAATGCCCCGCGGCCGCCGTCACCGCGCCGGGTTCGAAAAGTTCCCGCCAATTTCCCCCCCCCCTCCCTCCACACAACAAGGTCGCCGAGGGCCCCGCAAGGACAATGAGGGACAACCGGGAGCGCGGCGATCGCGCCCGCCCGAGGGGTTTCGGCTCGGTCACGGCGCCCCACGGCCCCGTCCCTGAAACCTCTCGGGCGGGCGCCTCGGTGAGGGGCGACCGCGTCCCCGCCGCCCCCCTCCCTGCTCAGCCCGCGTTGTGAGGGGAAGTGGGGGGGGGGGGGGGTGGACGCCGCCGCCGCCTCGTCTTCCCGCTGCCCCCAAAGTTCCCGATCACGGCGGTAAATCCCCCCCCCCTTTTTTTTTTTTTTTTTTTTTGTCTCTCCTTAAAGGCCAGTATTTCAAATTCTGCGCCGCCTAATGGCCCCAAATTACCATTGCACAACCATCTGGTATGACAAGAAGTGGGAGGCAAAAAAAAAAAAAAAAAAAAAAAAGAAAAAAAGGAGAACAAAGGCAAAACGCAGGAGAAAGAGGCGACGTTTAAAGGCGGATCGTGGCGGGGATGGCGCGATGGGGATTAAAAGGCTGGCGGAGGTGGCTGGGGGGGTGTGTGAGGGTCGCGGCGCGGGGTTTTTGGGGTTTTTTTTTTTTTGGCTGCCCCGCGTTTCTCCACAGGGGCAGCACAAGCGCTATGGCTGTTTGTAATCCAGCATGGAGACACTGCTGCTCCAGCCTTCTCCTCCTCCTCCTCCTCCTCCTTTCCCAAACAAAACAGCCCAAAAAGTGAACTCGCCGCGCCGCCCGAGCCCTCCTCTTCCCCCCTTCCGCTCCGCGCTCCGCTCTAGGACATCCACCAAAAAAATTAAAAATGCAAAAGGGGGGAAAAAAAAAAAAACCACACACACACACACACAGAGCACACACCAACCCAAAAAACTCCACACATACACACATAGGCGCGCGCGCGCTAAATTTTTTTTTTTTTAAGCTAAATTTCCGCGATTGCCGCTTTAATTTCTTCCCCC